AAATTTTATATTTTTTATACTGGATTTTGTAAATATTTTTTTTAAAGTATAATATATTTTTTAGAACTACAGAAAAAAAGGTTAAGTAGATTAAACAGATTAAATAAATTAAATAAATTAAATAAGTTAAACAGATCAAGTAGATAAGCTAAATCTAGATAATATTATTATACTATAATTAAAAGTATATTATATTTTGTATATTATTTATATAAAAAGAATATATATATTATTAATTAACCTATAGTTATTAATCTATTTATTATATCTGATTTTTCTAACCGGCAGGTATAAACAGTTAAAATAATAATTATATTTTAATCTAACTGTAACTATACACAAAATATTTTTTTGTATCTTAATCTGACCGCCAGGTTATAGTCAGATTAAGGTTAAGGTTAGAGTGGCTAACAGCCAGGTCAGATCAGGTTAATTGGAATTTTTATATCTGACCGCCAGGTTATAGTTAGGTTAAGAAAATTTTTATATCTAACTATAATATAGCTAAAAAAGAAATAATTAATTATTTTAACTATTTTTAGTACTAAGACCTGCCTGCTATATCTATTTAAATTTTAATATAATTAAAATATATTTAGATTAAGTAGTTATTAATCTGACTATTTTAATTATTATCTAAAAATATATAAAAACAAGCTTTTAAAATTAGAAAAAAATAATTAAGAAAAGTATTAGTATCTTTTTTATTTCTATTTTAAAGAATTAATTAAAGATTTTTAATAATATTAATAAAATTCAGCTTTTTATAAAATTATAATTCTTATAGTAAAAAATATATATAAAAATATATAATTATAGCTCGGTTTAAGCTGTATATTTTAATTATAATATATAATATTAGAAAAACTATATATTTACTAATAATTAGACTACTAAAAATAAATATACTGTTTTTATTTTTCTATTTTTTTTTTTATTTTAGTTTAGATAGTTTATTATATTCTTATTTTTATTTAAAAAAGCTGAATTATCTGTATAATAAGTTAAATTTAAAGAAAAATCTGTATAATACTATTTATATAGTTTTTCTCGGCAATTATACTTTCTAATAACTATTTTATTAAATATTAGATACTATAAGAACAGTTTATTATTTTTATTCTTTTAATCTAGTTAATTTCTTTTATTTTTTTTATTTAGTTAATTTTTTTAATCTGTTTAATCTTTTTGACTCTAAGTATTCTAAAAATCTATTATTAATTATACTAATCTTGCTTTGTTTGTTTAGTTTAATCAACTTTTTTATATAATAATAATATATATTCTAAAGTCTTTCTGTATTTTTCTTTTTTTTTTTTTTCTTTTTATACTTAAAATTCTTGTATTTTAGTACTAAATAAATTAGTTTTTAATTATTTAAATAACTTTTATAAATATTATATCTTTTATAAAGAGCTTTATATAAATCTTTTTTAAGTCTTTTTTATAAATATTAGAACAATCTAACCAATCTAACTAATTTAATTAACTAAAATAAATAAAATACAGTAGGTGTCTTAGCTGTATTTAAAATATAATAGATTATATTTATATAAAAGTATATTTTAAAATAAAATAAATTATTTTTATAGAATTTTCTATTTTTTTTTTCTGTATCTATTATTTGTAGAGTAGTTTTAGAATTATAAGTTAATTATAATTATTTAGTTTATTTTTAAAAAATATTATTAAGCTTTTTTTTTCTGTTTTTTAAATATTTATAAATTATAATAATATTTAAACTAAAATAAGCTTTTTAAGTCAGACTTTTTCTTTTTTCTTAAATCTTTAGATTACGCGTGTTGCAAAGAATTAGAAGATTATTTTATATCTAATTTATAAAAAAATACTCTATTTTTTAGAATTAATAGCAGAAAATAATCTTTTTTAAAATTTATATATAAGCTCGAAAACTACTATTTTACTTTAATCAGAAAAAGATATTAATAATATAAAATAATTTTTAAAAAAATATATTATTTTTTAATAAAATCTTTTATATTTATTATATTATCTATTTTTATATTCTGTAATATCCAGAAATTAAAAATTTAGAAACTAGTTTTATAAGCTACTATCTTCGCAAGGATTATAAAAAAAAATACTATTAATAGTATTTAAACAAATAATTAATTAAATACTAAATAAAGAACTATTACAGATATTTATTTATTTTTTTAATATAAATTTTTTTTAATTATTATTTTTTTTAGACTTCTATAGTCTATAATAAATAGAATTTTTAGAATTAAGTTCTATACTTTATAATTATTTATCGCCTATTATTCCGAACTGTTAAGTATATTTAATTTAAACAGATAATTAATCTTATAGCTTTATTTTTCTGCTGAAAATTAAATTCTTTTAATTAAGTATAAATTAAAAAATATTTTTTAAAGTTGTTAAAAAATATATATATACAGCTGTTATTAAAGTTTTTAGATACTAAAAGAATATTAGTTATAATAAATTATTAGATTAGTTCTAATTAAAAAATATTTTTTATTTTAACTGAATATTTTTTAATAAAAGATATAAATTATTATAAAGTTTTACTAGACTTTTAATCAATATCTAAATCTTATACTAGTAAGAATCTAGCTATAATTATTTTATTAGTTTTATATAAATATAATCTGTTTTATTAGTTATTAGATATAATAACTAATAATATTAATAATAATAGTTTAATATTTAATATAATCTTATTTAAATTTTAGATTTAGCTCAGCTAAAATATCTAGCTTTATAATACTTTATTTAATCCCGATCTTATAATAATTATTTAAAGCTAGTATTATATATTCTGTTTTATTTATATAATTTAGTTTATAGTTAATATTTTTTTATAGAAACTTTAGATTAAGATTTTAAATAGTACTGTTAAATATATATAGAAGAATTATAATAAAAGTCTTAAAATCTTTTTTAATATTTTAAAAACTCTTAAAAAAATATATTCTAAAAACTATTTATAAAAAACTAATATAAAAAGTTTTTACTATAGTAGAAACTATTTAAATTAGTTTTTTATAAACAGGTTTTAAAGATCTTCTTTTAATAATAGCTAATAATACTAATTTTTAATTATAGATTTAGAAGATTATATAATTTATAAATATAAGTTTTTAATACTATAAAAAATTCTAGTTTATTTAACAACTTAAATTAGACTCGGTCTACTATTTTTTTCTTAATTATAAAACTTACTAGAACTTAATCTATTTTATAATTCGCTAGATATTTAATTTTTATTAAATAATTAACAGTTTTATTTAGTATTATAATTATAGTAATATTAGTTATTTTTATTCTACTATAATTAAGTAGAAATAGATAGAATATTTTTTTAAGCTTTTATACTTTTTTTTTTTTTATATTATATCTATCTAAGAATAGTAGGCCTACTGTTTATAGAATCTATAATATTTATAATAATTTTTTTAATTATTTAGATTATTTAATTAATTAACTGGTAAGAAAGCGGGTACTTAAAAAAAAAGATTTTTAAAAATTTATAGCATATATATTAAAAGCTTTAAAAATACTATTATTATATCTATCAGATAAAAGACTATATTTATATAATTATAATTATTCTAAACCCGATATTAAAGTTTAAAAAATTTAAAAAAAATATTTAGCTGGATAATAATACTAACTGATATTTTAAATACTAAACTATTTTTAAAAAAATATTTTATTTTTATTATAGTTAGAATCCGGCTATTAATATATTATTAACTATTTTTAGATTACTATTAGACCTGGATAAAGTCTTTTATAATATTTTTAAATATTAAAAATTCTTACCAGCAGCTGAGATATTTAAAAAATTTAAAATATATCTAAATATTAAAGATATATAATTTATTAAAATATTTTTAATTAAACTAATATTATTTTAGATATTATAAAATATACTAATATTCTTGCTTACTAGAAGTCCTACTATAATTAGTTTTTTATTTTTTATTAGATAATTAAAAATTTTTTTTTAGTTGCTATCAACAGTATTAATATTAAATATTTATTTAATAATTCTTAAAATATCTGCTACTATTATTAAAGCTATTTCTATTTTAATATAATTAAAGTAGTAATACTTTAGATATATAAAAATTATTTTATTATTAGTAAGAAGTACTAGAATATTTTTAATAATCTTAATCCAGATTTAATTATTTTTATATTTAAGAAGTAAAAGAAGAATAAAATAATTATTATCTTTTATATTAGTAAAAATAAGAATATAAATAATCTTAAAGATAATCCAGAAGATAAATTATTATTAGAAATAAAGAAATTAGCTTTATCTAAGTCTTCGAATATTATATATACTTAAATAAAAATAGAAATCCGGTTTTTTTAATTTTTTTATTATTATAATTATTATTCTAGACAGTATAAAGAATAATATAATCTTATTAATTTATCTAATATTAAATTTTATATTTTTTATACTGGATTCTGTAAATATTTTTTTAAAGTATAGTATATTTCTTGGGACTATAGAAGAAGAGATTAAACAGATTGAATAGATTAAATAA